TCCTCTTCCCAGGCGATTCTAGGTTGTATGAAGTTGACAGTAAACTAAGCAGTACAGGTTTCACTGGGAGCCATTTTCTGCTGCATGTCTAAGAGAACCTGGTTCCCGATACCATCATATTTGGAGGTCATTGCTTCAACAGGAACTTTACAGGGACAACACAATTCAGTTCACAACAATTTCAGACCAAGAATTTCAGTATGTGCTTTAACATCACTGGAGTCAATAATCACCACTGTAGAGACACAGGCATAAGAGCGAGACCCAATGGCACGCGTGCGCGTGTGTGTGTGTGTGTGTGTGTGTGTGTGTGTGTGTGTGTGTGTGTGAGTGTGTGTGTGTGTGCCCTGAGGATTGAACTAAGTTTGCCACCTATACCTACTGATCTCCCTAGGGCTCTATCTATGTTAACCAGAACAGTTTTACTTAAAAAAGAAAGAAGGCTGTTAGTGGTATGTCTTTTGTAGACTGCTAACCTAACTACACAAAGTTGACTATGGTATTTCTGTTCCCATTCTGTCTTGGCAGAGCTGGGGTACTGTTTTTCCTGACCACCAACCAGTGTTTCTCCAGTGTGTCAGCTGTTGAGCTCTTCGTAGTGGAGAAGAAACTCTTCATGTGAGTAAGTCACTATTCTAGCTGTGTCAAACTGGTCACATCCAAAACTGAGCCAAAATAGTATCCTAATATTATCAGTATCTTTTATTTATTTGTTTAATTGGTAAATATAAATTGCATGCATATATTTATGTTATACAATATGGATTTTTGAAAATGCATAGGATTGCAGTATTAAGAAAAGGCATTCATGGGGAAGAGTGGAAAATTAAGAGTACATGGTGCCTGATAGCCAGAGAAAGGAGATTTCCAAGTTTGGTTTGAGGTTAGGAAATCCTAGTGCAGTGAGAGAAAGTAGCATCAGTGAGGCTGAAAAAAGGTATCTTGTTTTGATTAATCACTGGCTGATAACTCCAGCAAAGGAAGCCTGAGCAATTTCAGAACAATTAGGTGGTTCAGCAGCTAGAAGTGGTAAGATCAAGATGGCAAAGGAAGAGCAAATACAAGTCTTACTGGGTAGAAGCATGGACAGAGCCAGAGGACAACTTCAGGGAACTGACTAGCTTTTCTCCCATGGTTTTCAAAGGTTGGAGAGATTTGCCCAGCTTTATTTACCAGCAAAATGAATCAATGGAGAGCAAAAGAGCAGAGACACTGGAGGAAGAGTTTGGAATAAGTGGAGAAAGATGTCAGGAACAGGAGGGATTAGGTTTGGTAGCTGGAAGGAAGGAAGGTTGGAAGGTATGGCTATTGAAGGAAGAAGTTTTGCTCTGATGCCAGAGTTCACAACAGCCAGAGGAAGTGCTGTGTTGAGAGATGGCCACAATGTATGAGCTTCCTGAAGCTGAGAGCCCAGGAAGGGTGACACCTGAGATGGCCGAAGACATTGGGGTGTCAGCCTGGAGTATGTTGGATGGATGCCTTCTGAGAAGTGCAGCTGCTACCCCATCTTCTGTTCCGTGCTTTCTAGACTAATGTGGGATCTCTGTTGTTTTACAGACATGAGTATATCAGTGGATATTACAGAGTATCTTCTTACTTCTTTGGAAAGCTGATGTCTGATTTACTACCCATGAGGTTTTTCCCAAGTGTTATATTCACTTGTATAGTATACTTCATGTTAGGTAAGTACAGGCCAAACCAAAGTGCCTTTAGTCTTAGATGTGAAGTGAAGCCAATTCCTCTGTGTATATTTTTGTTTACCTTTATCTGTGTGTCTATATAAAAAGATAGAAAAATTTAGTAACTACACATACTCTGATGCATATTCTCTATTAAGAAAACCATGTTGAGTTTGGGAGGTTGTTTATTTACTAAAAAAAAAAAATCATTAATAGATACAGACAGATTTAGTTTTATATTATGCTCAGGCTCCAACTTTAGGGTCACTGCATCAAATTTTCCATATTTTTCACTGATACTTGTGCACGTGCATACACACTGGTAATTTTAGCTTTACAAATCACTGTAGTAGGAGAACCACTGATAGAGATTAAAGCTTCCATTTTATATATGAAGTTGATCATAAAGAATATAACATGTTATCTACAGCCTTAGATTCCTAATCTATTTTCTTGCCACTGTTTCAAAATCATCAGATTGTATGACATATACATAATCATATACATAGTATTATGTTATAGTTTATAAAGTACTTCAATAACTTAGTCCTGTTTTTTATGTCTAGGGAGACATAGATAGAAGAAACCCCTCCCTCCCTTTGTATATTAAACCACCCCGAGGTTGTGTAATTGTGAACCAAGTTTCTTCACTAATGCAGTTACAGCAAACACAGAGATGCAGGAAGTCTGGGTAAATGTCTGTTTCCTGCTAGTGAGCTTGCCATAGTGGAAGATGGCGGTAGTATGGGCCCAGAATGTTTCCTGTAGGTGTCCATCTAAGGAGCTCAGAAGTACTCTTGATATGTAAAAAAAAAAAAGCCACGTGGTCTGAAAGAGTACTCTTAAAATAATCAAGGAAAAGGAAACTCTGTTACTTGATGCGGTGACACAGAACAAAACAATGAAATTGTGGGCCGGAGTCGTTGGATAACGGGTGACCTTTTCTCATTAGTTCCGATAGTGATTTCTACAGTGATATTTGAATGCACGTGAGGCAGCTGTACTGATTACTTCTTTTCTTTCTAAGGATTGAAACAGGATGTGGGGGCCTTTTTCATCATGATGTTCAGCCTTATAATGGTGGCTTATACAGCCAGTTCCATGGCACTGGCCATAGCTGCAGGCCAAAGTGTGGTATCCGTGGCAACACTTCTCATGACAATCTCTTTTGTGTTTATGATGGTGAGTATAGACTGTGCATCTCTGAGCAGACACACCTTGCCTTGTTTCCTCTGCATTTCCATCTGCTACAGAAATCTGCCTTGAGGGTTCTTTCCGTTGGGACTGTGACAAGTTCAGAACACCAGATGCTCCAATAAAGTGACTATTAGGGAAGTAATGGCTTTCCTCCTAACCTCTATCAAGTCCCTTATATTGCTACTTAATGTTGCTGTGACTTTGCTAGCATTTCCTTACTAATAAGCTTTTAAAAGATGAATTTTATCTAGGTATGGTGGTTATGCCTGTAATCATGGCACTCAGGAGTATGGCTATGCATTCGAGCCAAGCCTGAGCTATACAGTGAGACCCTGTCTCAAAATTGCTGGCATTGAAACCACTGGACCTTATTTTTCAAGGTGGCCTCTGCACTGGAAAAGGGGGGGGGGGGGGGGGCAGTCACAGAAATGGAAAAAAAAATAACTTCTTGATGTTAGACAACCTTGGTAAATAGAACATTGAAAACAGGAATTGCCATTGACGCCTTGAAAAATGGCAGCCTATCTTTCAAGATGTCCACCGTTTAGTAACCAGAAACGGTTTGGTTGAATTCCCACAAAGGAGAAAGTGAAGCTTGTGAAAAGGCTAACAGTGCATGAAGGAGTCTATCCTGGGTCCCTCTTATATTTGGAATATTACTTTAAAAATAGTAAAAACATCAAAAGTAGAGCATGGTAGTGTATGTTCATAATCTCAGCCCTTGGGATATTTTAGAGGCAGAGAGATCAGGAAATAGAAGTCATCTTTATCTACATAGTAAGTTTGAGGGCAGCCTGGGCTACCTGAGACCATGTCTTTAAGAAGAAAAGGAAGAAACTTTTAAGGTCTACCTACCTTTAGTAGCTGCCTACTTACTTCACATTGCTTGTGTAATGTTTGCTCACTCCTAGTCTTGTCTATGTCTCAATTTTGCACTGAAGTGATAAATCAGGAGGACCAACTTCTGAGTTTTTTCTCCTGCATCACTAAGTAGGAAGAGCTAGCACATAGACTGCACAGTCCTCTTCACTACAGGGGGCTGTCTGTCAGTGAGACATCATTAGCTGAAGTCTTGCTAAGCTTTAGTTCTTTCATTTTTGAATTTTGAACCTACCAGTGTATCTATTATTTAGAAAATGATCATCCTTGTTTATAGTCTCATCCAATAAATTGTACTTTAAACAAGTACAAAATTATGTTTTAATTTCTGTTTGGACTAGTGACTATGTAAGTGTTTATAAATAGGACTTTAAAGCCAATCGTCAATCTGTATTCACTCAGAGATGGCACATCAAATAATCAGTACTTGGTTAGTGCAGTTCTACATATGCACACACAGACAACAGCACTGTCGTTGTCTTGCATACATATCCCAGCTCTCTTAGTATGACAGAACACATTCCATGAGAACCTCATTGTGCCTATTTTTAATATTGAACAGTCAATTCCTGGCATCTCCACTGAGGTTCTGCTTTAGGGTCAGACTTTTTTTTTTAATTTATTTTGATTTTTTAAATTATCTATACATATGTGTATCTGTATGGAATATATACATGAGTGCAGTGACCTCAAAGGCCATAAGACAAGTGCCAGACACTCTGGAGCTAGAGTAGTTGTGGTTGTTAGCCACCTAATACGGGTGCTGAGAACCAAACTCAGTCCTCTACTAGAGAGGTAATTGCTCTTGGCTACTTAGCCATCCTTAGCCCCATAGGCAAGCTTAGATGGAGGTATTAGTTGTGTTTTCTGCTGCACATCACCACATCATGCTCTTATCTGCTCTAAATTGGAGATTATTTTATACCTGTATTCTGAGCCTAAAATAGTTCCTAAACTCCTGACTGTAGCATATAATCCATTGTAAGTCACAAATCTCATCTGGATGTATAGCAACATGTCATTTTGTATTAATTCTAGTGTGTTCTGTATTTTCAAGATTATTAGGAGGTGTGCACATGGGTGGCATAGTTAGAATCATAGAACAGTCTGCCTCCCATGTGCATATCAAAAGATGCAACTGAAAAAAAAAAGGTACATTTTTCTTGGCTATGCATGTCACCTTCCCCCATGCCATTATTCCTTAAAGAACAGCATAACCCCGGAATGGCAGCATGTATCTATAATCCTAGCATTTAGGAGGCAGAGTCGAGGACTACTCCAAGTTTGAGGCCATCCTCATCTACATAGGAAATTCTAGACCAGCCAGAACTACATAGGGATACCGTTTCATCCATTCGTTCCTTTATTCATAAATAATAGAGTATACCAGCTGTTTATTTAGCATTTGTGTTGTAGCAAACATTTTAGTCCCTCTGCAGACGGTCTTTGAACATTTGTGATGTGTCTGTTTTGAGTATAAAGGCTGGGCGGGAGAGATGGTTTAGCAGTTAAGAGCACTGGCTGCTCTTGGTGAAGATCTAGGTTTGATGCCCAGCACTCACATGGTGGTTTACATCTGTCACTAATGTCACCAATTTCAGTTGCTGGAGATCTGACACCCTCTCTGGCCTCTGTGGAGATCAGGCATGCATGCAGTGTACTTACATACAGACAAAATAGTCACATAAAATAAAAACAAATAAATCCTTTTAAAAAGCACAAAAGCCATGTGTAGGTTATATTAAAATGCTGGGTCATCTTAAAAATAAGAGAAATGTGCATCTGCAGAATTTAGTTTGTGCGTTGGCGGCCTGGAACCATCCAATCAATAACCATGGAAGACCAAGGAATGATTCTGTTTCCTGATCTTCCATTGCAGTTACACAGAAGTTGAAGACAAATTCTAAACCATTAGGAATCATCAAATAAATTAACTCTATAATACTAGTTATATGTTTATTATTCTTCCCTTAATGCCATTAATAGCCACTACAGAAGTATTATACTCACATGCTTAAACAAGACTTTGAGGAGGTACAATAACTGCAAAGTTTTCATACTGCCTTGGCCTTAGCAGTGATGTTTAGCAGATGCAGGTTATTTGTGGGGGAGGCTTTTGTTTTTTTTTGTTTTTGTTTTTAAGGTAGTTGTGCCAGGTATCCCAGGCTGGCTTTGAACTTGTGATCCCTCTGTCTCAGCCTCCCTAGGTTTGATTACAGGCATGCACCATCATGCTTGTCTACTTGCAAGGCCTTAAAGGAGGTCTTATTTAAAGCTCTAAATCACTGGACTGGTTCTAACTTACAGGTTTTGCATCTTACAGATTTTTTCTGGTCTTTTGGTGAATCTCAAAACCATTGCGGCTTGGTTGTCCTGGCTTCAGTACTTTAGCATTCCTCGATACGGCTACACAGTAAGTTGCCCTTGCTTGTCTGTCATTGTGCTGGATTCCTAAGCTAGGAATGGTGGGATTAAGCCTAACCTTGTAATACCCTTAGCCACAAGTATGAACCTGTCCCATCCAGTTTCCTTCCATAAATAATGGAATGGTGGGTAATAATTTCCTATTAGTCTTTGTTATTGGAAGGTCAAAGAGTCATCTTGGCTTTTCCATAGTCACCCCATTATTGGAGGGGTGTGAAGAGTGGGGAGTGATCACATAAAGGAGAAATGTTAACTAGTTGATGAAAAACATTGTAAGGAAGTATAGGAGAGGGTGGGGACTATAATCCATAGTTTATATCGGAACTGAAATCTAGAGAGAAATAGACTGTAATACTCAGCAGCCCTATTGGCTTTAGCAACGAATCAAATACAAAGAAAATGGCTGTGTCTTAATTCAGAATAATGACGTTTCTGATTTCCATAATTATTGCTTTTTATGAAAAGAATGTTACTAAAAATAAACAGTGTTCACTGAGCATTATTATATCATTTTCATTATAGATTTCTGGATTATAAAATTGGGATGAGGGTGCTCTGGGGTAGTCATGAGTTGTCCCTCTTGGCCAGTTGGAAGTTACATCCCAACCCTAAGTTTCTTGATTGCCTGGTTTGGTGTTTGAAAAAGAGAAGAAAGAAGTTTGTGCATGTGCAGCTTGCAATGCTTTTAGAAAGAACAATAAAGATTAAATTTGAGCATATGATTGGGATAATTTTTTGGAAACATTTTGGAATTTAATACTATTGACACTGCTATGATCTTGTGTGTATTCTAGGCTTTGCAGTATAATGAATTCTTGGGACAAAACTTCTGTTCAGGAACCAACGGATCTGGCAATAACACCTGTGGTGATAATAGCGGCTTTACAATGTAAGTTTGTGTTCAGTGTCACAGTATGTTTGTGTCTTACTGTGCTGTGCTGTAAAACAGCTGCTGGGCTTAGAGGTGGGATGAGTCTGTAAAGGGAACCCTCATATACTAGTTCATGTGACCATGTTGAACAGCTCCTATAATCTGTAACAATTAAAACCATATTTAATGTGAAAAAAAATGTTTCCTGTGTATTGATTGAGATGTTTTAAAAGATCCCTTTGTTATTTTTTTATTGGGTTTGAATCTTAGCTTTTCAGAACTTTTGGGTTGTAAATGGGCTACTTTGATAGTTTAGAAGGGACTTGTGGTCTTTGAGCTGGAATGGATTATTATCCAGAGCCCAGAGTGGAAGACAGCAGTAAGCAGGAGGACAGTGAGATCATTCCAAGAAGGGAGTTACTGATCGTTCTGACCCTGGTGCCACTTTCTGCCCACTGCCTTTGGGAACACTATGTAACTCAAGACTGCCAGTTTGCATGCACGTGGGCTTGTGTGCATGTGTGTGTGCCTCTGTGTGTGTGTGTGTGTGTGTGTGTGTGTGCGTGTGCGTGTGTGCATGCATACTCTTTTAAACCAAATTGAAACTCTCACTATAAGAGGATGCACTCAAGAATTAAAATGGAATTCGGGTTCTAATAAATTAAATGACCTTATTTTAAAATGTTAATTCTTTTATGGTAATTATTAATGGTCTGATTTTTTTTTTATCTAAAGATTAATGAAAGCAAAGAATACTAGTCTCCCAAATCTCTCCTGAATGTTCAGTTGTAAAAATAATTGCTAGCGATAGGATGATTTTCTATTTTGGCTTGTTGACGGACAACTTTCCAAGGAAGGGTCTTCCCTTGAGTGCTGTTCTTTGCCTGCCCACTTCATTTGGGTTTGAGCTGGGTGTGGCATCTTTCTAACACAAAGCCCCAGTCAGCCTACTGGTCAGGAGGGAGTAGACAGGAAACGCGGTGCCACAGAAGGGGGAGCCATGGCAGGCATCATGCTCACATACGGCTCATGCTCATAAAGCAAAGGGAGGGAATGGCTGTTTTGGAAGCAGCTTGCACAGGAATTGGAGCGGCATCGGGTGGGCCCGCTGCTAGGGCCCTCCTTCCGCTGTGCCCTACCTGCTCTCTAAGGCTGTCTCTGGCTGAGTGTCTGCAGTGTGAAGGCTGCCAGGCGTGACTCTGCCTGAAACCTGTTGCTCCCCTCTTGCCGGGTGTAGCTTTCCGACCTGTTTCCTTTACTTTGTGGGCAAGCAAACTCTAAGGGAAGGACTGAACCTGGCATAGCTACAGCTGAGGTGCTCGCCTGAGTAATGAGTAAATGAACAGGCACCCGATGAGTGTTTCTTCCCTTTCTAGACAGCAGCGTTATAGGTTTAAAATAAATGAGTCTGAGGAGGCAAGAAACTTAGCTCATAGTGAGAACATGTTAACTTGACCAAGTTTGTTAAGCTACTTAACAGTTACACTCCTTTGGATCGTTTTAGGGATCAACTTAACATAATTATATCCAAGTTGCTGAGCATAGAATCTAGTAAATTGTAAGGGAGAGTGTTGATTTGGCTAACCAATGGGTTTTCTGTGACAAAAATACTTAATATACTGATTAGTACTTGACAGGTTCTGGGAATGAACTTAATTGCTTTTGTATGTTGAAATTTCAGGTGCACTGGTGATGCGTACTTGGAAAGTCAGGGAATAGAGCTGTCACCTTGGGGACTGTGGAAGAATCATGTGGCTCTGGCTTGTATGATCATCATCTTCCTCACAATTGCCTATGTAAAATTGTTACTTCTTAAAAAGTATTCTTAAATTCTCCTTTACTGTTCTAGTGTATCCTTATTAAATGTGGGCATTTTGATGTATCCAGTGTTCTTTGTTTCTTTCTTCACAGATATTTTGATGTACATAAAATAACACTGAAAGCTAAGGACATTATTATTACATATCGAGCTCATCAAATAGTAATCATGAGGAGAAAATCCAGTCAGATTTACTGACCTGAAAAAGGAGAGTTGAATTCTAAATACTGCTGACATGCCACTCATGTAGTCTTTAAAGGTGATAACGCAGAAGCCAGGCGTGGTGGCACACCCTGGTAACCAACCCTGGCACCTGGTACACAGAAGCAGGGTTGTCATTCAAGGCTTGGACCCTGTATTCTAATAACAGTAAGAGAGACAATCAGAGAGTTCAGTGGCCCTTTAGTGGGCTGTGAATTTATGGTCTGCTATGTGATAACTAATAAAGCTGTATTAGAACTCTGAAATTTATGTCAGGAAAACCCTTTTTTCTCCAGGGTTAGAGAAAGTCAATGATCATAGAAAACACTGTATTTGATAAACTTACTGGTAGAATGCATAATTACCTTAACTGACTGGGGGCTTTGAGCTATAGGTGTAGTAGACGGCAGAGGTCTTATGATACGGCCCTGTGTCATTTCTGGAACATCGTAGTCCTGAACGGTCCCTTACCATCTTTGGTTTAGCTCATGGATATAATCTGAACATCAGAGTCTCCCGAGAAACATTATCAAGACACAGATGCCAGGCCCTGCATCTGCCCTGCTGCTCCATAGAAAGCGCACCACTCCCAGTCATTTCCAGCCCTGGAAATTATAGACTATGACTTAGTAACTATTTATATACATTCCTGTACATGTTCATCCCACTTGTTCATCGCATGCCAATGAGCTTTATGTCATTCTAACGTTTACCAGTACCACGCAAGTATTTACCAATTAATATGAGTGTTTTTTTAATTTCCTTTTAATTAAAAAGCAAGGTATCACAAGGTACAGTTCAGAGAACCACGTAAACTGCATACATACACACGGCCACTGTTACTGCTCTGGAAATGGGATGCAGTCAAAACACAGGAGTTCCTCATGCCCTCCTGCCAGCCACACCTCCTCTGTCTCCGTGGCTTGTTTCTGTACCAACACTTACATACCAGAACATTCATGCAGTTCAGTTTTATGTACACACATGGTCACACGCATGCGGAACTTCCCTTCTTACTTTGCATTTGCATTATTTTCATTTAAGCATACTTTATTGCTATAACATAATTTGCATGTTAAATGACACTATAGTAGAGTGATTTGATGTAATTTTAAGCAAGAGAAAATGTAAGTTCACAAAACCCATCCCCTTGAATACTTTTTTTTGCATTCATTTCATTGTTATTTTTTGAGAATTCCATACATGACGAGTGCTATACTTATATCATTTCCAACTCCATCCCCCCTCCTCCGAGTCCTCCCGTGCCCCCTCTACTCCCTCACTACCTTATGACCTTTGAAAAAGTTACACAAATGTAACCTGCTGTCCATTTGGTATTGTTCCTATACATATGTATTTAGGGTTGACCATTTATTAGGGAGCTCATCCCTGCAGAAGGCTGTTTGTCTATCTTTTAGTAGCCATTAATTGCCTACACTTCTTCATGTAGAAATGGCGCCTTGTCAGATTTTCCCTATCCATGATGGTGTCAACTGGTGGTGTCATCATGCGGGTCTTGTTTAGGCAACCATATTGTTGAGATTTCAAGGGTTCAACTTCCCTGTCATATATAGACGATACAATATCATAGCAGATGTCACGGTCCTCTCGCTCTTAAAGTCTGCCTGCCCTCTCTTCTACAGTGCTCCCCTTATCACTTGATGTAGAGCTTGTGTTGTAAATGTATCAGTTAGGGATGTGTACAGTCAGTTAGCCTCTGCATTCCAACCATTTGGGGCTTTATATAATAGTCTCCATCTGCAGCAAAATAATAGTTCTTTCATGAGGGTGGGAATTCCACTGGTTTAATAATGCGGCAATAGTGGATTCTCCTTTAGGTTCCATGACCTCATCAGCAGCAGGTAGTTGACTAGGATTAGAACATCAAGTGTGAATTCCCTTCTATTAAGTGGCTCTTAAATCCTGCCTTGGGGATACCTTGAGATACTATGAGATAGTCGTTAGTTAGGGAGCAGGTTTCTATGTCTGTTGCAGCTGACTACCCTCAAGTCCTGTCTCCAAAGTGCACTGGGTCTTCAGCAGTAGGGTCTTACATCCAATATTAGGATCCGTTATGGGTTACCAGCCCCCTTTTGGGGATCCCTTAGAGGGTCCAGTTAAGACTCTATAGCTGGAGAGGGGGAAAAAAACTAAGGGGGTCTGAGGGAAAGAACTGACTCACTTGAGATTGCCATTCTGCATATTTATTCTTCTATCTCTTCTCTTCTCCTGCATTTCTTGGGGGCACCTCTATATATACACATTTGCAACAGTAATTCTTTTTGCAGTACAATATGAGGCTTGAGTTTCTCAGGGTCAGCAAGGCAGATAAGATTTACACACAGCAATAAACTGCACTGCTAGGAGAAGCTTTTAACACCAATTGCTTGGGGCTGTAAATCAAAAAAAAAAAAAAAGATCTAAGTTTAATTTGCACAAGACAGGAACCTGGCACCTTCCAGTGTTCTGGCCTCAGCAGAGGCACAGGCCTTCAGGAAAGTTTACTTTTTCCTGAGGACGAGCAAATGGGGAAACAGGAGGGAGTAGTAAATCTCTGAGCTAAGATCTTGTGTTAACAAACTGGGATGAAGTAAATGCAAGAAGTTTGAGAATCTTTTAGTGCAGGGTTAGTTTAGGTTGTTAGGTTATTTATTCTCTATCTGCCAAGTGAGGTAAAGCTAGGCCATGCTTATTTTTTTTTTCTATCTGGGCAACTATGCATCACTTGGGCATGTAGTTATTCTATGTCCTTGGATATCTGGGAATGTCTCGGATGGAATGCTTTTGCCTGACCAAATGCCTGTCAATAAGGATAATTGCAGGAAGGCAGATCTCTGAAATTGCAAGGAACAAGGACCTGATAATGGGACACAGCTCTCACACATAACTAAGCAATATAATCAGTAAACTAAGACCTGGTAATGGAGAACAGGTTTCACACATAGCTAGGGAGTATAATCAGTAATCCCAAATGCCTAGGAGAAATGATGCCCTGTATATGATCAGATAGTGCTGAACTATGGAAAGTAAATCCCAAGTTTGTTATAGAAAGGAATAAGCTACTAGAAGGATCTACAGCAAGAAACAGCCTCTTTTATTCACAAGACTCTAATGCCAAATACAACTCTCATATTGGTTTAATCTTCAAAAAGAATTCTTAATTTTCATGGGTTGTCTCATGAGATGATGGCTGTATAATTACTGAGTGATCTTGTGGTTTGTAGCAATCCAAATCTCAACATTTTTTTAAAAGTTGCTTTTTAAAGTGTGTCAGTGTGACAGATATATTCAGTGACTAGTCATGGCTAATTCTTATTGGGCAATGGAATTAAAAGGAAGTAAAATTAAACTTTCACAGTTACTGTGTTAAAGGGATGACACATATTGAATTGTTTTAGAATACAAAAAGAGTTGTTTCTGCTTCAGTACACAGAAAGTTTGAGTTATATCTCCATCATTGAAAAAAACTTACATAATTGAAAATAGAAAAAAAAATAGGTTTCTATCCACTTTAATGAGTCCTTTTGCCCATACCCCATCCTTGCTCATCACCTAGTATTACCCTCTCTTGATCCCTTGAAATTTTTAAACTTTACCCACTTTTAGACCTGTTTACATAAATGAACACATTATAGGCCAGGGTCCACATGTGAGAGAAAACACAAAGTTTTTCTTTCTGTGTTTGGATTGCTTGCTTAATAGTATCCATTCTAGTTCCATCAATAGTCTTGCTAATTTCCTAATTTCATTTTCATTACAGCTGAATGATACCATATTATGTATAAGTAACACAACTTCATTATCCATTCATTTGTTGATAGACACTTAGGCCCATTCCATTCCCTTGCCATCGTGAACAGGACAATAGTAAGCATGATGTACAAATATCTCTGTAGCAAGGTATGCAGTTCTTTCATTATTTACCCAGGAATGGTATATCTGTATCATGTGGTAGTTCCATTTGTGTTATTGTGAGGAACTTCCAAACTGATTTGCCTAATGGCTGGATTAATTTTCATTACCACTAGCAGTGAATGAGGATTTCTCTTTCCCCATATCTGTTCCAGCATTTATTGTCTGTTCTATTGATTATAGCCATTCTGACTAGGGTAAATTTGTTTTTCCCTAAAATCTAGAGGTGTTGGATAACACATATTTATTAGCCATTTGTGTTTCTTTTCTTTTTAGTTTTTTGAGATGGGGTTTTTCTGTGTAGCCCTGGCTGTCCTGGAACTCATTCTGTAGACCAGGATGGCCTCACAAAGGTCTGCCTGCCTCTGCTTCTCGAGTGCTGGAATTAAAGTTGACTGTCAGTTTTGTTTCCTTGGTGTGAATTTTTGCAGTTCTTTGTAAATTCTAGCTATTAGCCCCTTGTTTGAAGTGGAGCTGGTAAAGATTTTCTACCAGCCTGTACTGTGTTTATTGATAGTTTCTTTTGTTGTGGAGAAACTTTAAATTTCATGTAGTCCCATCCATTAGTTCTTGGGGCCAGTTACTGGCTATTGGAGTTCTACTCAGAAAGGTTTTGCCTACCCCAAAATCGTAAAGAGTGTTCCATAATGTCCCCAGCAGTTTCAGAGTTGGGGCTTTTGAATTGAGGTCCTTAATCTACTTTGAGTTGATTTTTGTGCAAGATGAAGGTACGGATCTAATTTTATTCTTCTTTAGATAGCAAACACTGTTGAATGGATTGTATTTTCTGCTGCATGTTTTTGCCACCCCTGTCACAATGTCCTACCCTTGTCAGTTTATTTACAGGCCTCCTGATCTGTTTGATTGGTCTTTTTGTTTTATGCCAATACCAGACTCTCTTGGTCACTATAGCTCTATAGCTTAACT